CCCCCCCCCACGGCAATGCTACTGATTGAAGTGTCTTTAGGCCATTCCCAAACGGGGGATATTAACATGTTCTTAAGGGGGGATATTAACATGCACAGCGTATTATGTAAATGGGCTGATTTATCAATGTCATGCTCATACTGTGCCGGAATAACATAAGGGGAACAGCTGCTTATTCTTTCCTCATCCTTACTATCGTCATTTTCCCTCTACTTCTTTTATATGTTTGTCACTCTCTTGTGAACTGCTATTTCCGGGCTGCCTTGATAGTCGGAGCCGAATTTGAGCTGTTGAGGCTAGAGAGGTGAAGAGTAAGCAATATTCCTCGTTTGGACTTCTCTGTTGACATTCACCCCTTGGCGCTCATATGACCTTATACAGTTGCAAGCGCCGTAAAACTGTACTAAAACATGAAACAAAACTTCCAATCTCTTTTCTTTTGGCTTTATTTTGTCTTGATATTTTGGGGGTATAAAAATATTTTTTAAAAAGGTTTCTGTGTTTATTATTGTTTCCGTTTTTTGTTTTATTTCATGTTTGTATTATTTGCACAAAGACCTCATAGTGCATATGTTTTGTTGCTATGTTTGCTTGTTGTTGTCGTTGTTGTTTTTGTTCTTTGTTTGCTTGGTTTTGCCCCTTCTCCCATTCCCATCTTACAGTAACGTTTCATTCTGTTTCGTTATTGCTTTCCTAGATTTTGAAATGAAAAATTATGAGTGTCACAAGCCATAGTTAAGATTTGAGCGTTGCTTTTTTTCTTTAGTATTCTCAAAACTTGGAAAACACGACTTAGGCGTTTGTGAAATGGCACTGACGTTATATGACGTAAGCGGCTGTGAACTGACACTAATGTTATGACTTAAGCGTTTTGTGAAATGACACTGGCATTATGACTTAAGCGTTTGTGAAATGGCACTGACTTTATGTTCTCACCTTTACCTTTTTAAATATGCAGCGGACACATAATATGTCCGACCAGCAGTAGACTAAAGGCAATGTTGCGAAAGCTTCCACACCATCATAGATCTACACGAATCTGCAACGCGAATTTGTGCACTTCATAGTATAGACCTAAATAATTGTTGCTTGGCTTTTTAATTTTCAGTTAAAGAAAACAGAATTGAAATTAGATCTAAGTATGAACAACGAAGTTATGCTTTTTTCCTAAGTGCCCCCCCCCCCCCCCCCCCCGAAATAGCGCGACTCCACACCTTTTCGAATGACAAGAAACTGTGTCCTGAATGAGTAAATCTTTGTCTTCAGGTTAGCAGCTACAGATTCTCCATCTCCTGGCCTCGAATCTTCCCCGACGGCACGAATAAAAACGTGAACCAGGCAGGTGTTAACTTTTACAACACTTTGATTGACAAGCTTTTGGCCAATCAGATCACGCCATTCGTCAGCCTGTACTACTGGGACCTCCCCCAGGCCCTGCAGGACAAAGGCGGTTGGTCCAAAGTAGAGTCGGTCAGGTGGTTCGGCGACTATGCTGACTTCTGCTTCAAGACTTTCGGCGACCGGGTGAGTCAGCGAGATTTTCTCCTTTTCTTTGTTTTATTTACGGCAGATTTTTAGACTCAGTATAGTGTTTTAAGAAGAAGAAGAAGAAGAAGAAGAAGAAGAAGAAGAAGAAGAAGAAGAAGAA